GTGAGGATGATGCAGGACCGGGCAGTGCTTCGTTCTGTTGTACGTAAGGTCCCTGTGAGTCAGAACTGACTCGATGGCACCTGACAACAGCTGCCCCGATCCCAGCCTTTGAAGGATCAGAAAGTGAAAGGTGTGGCAAAAGTGAACGCAGCTGCTGGAACACTCCAGTTTCCAAAGGAACCTGTCTTTGCTGCTGCAGCGCGTGTTCTAGGGAGGCACCATCTGTGAGAACAGAAATATTCTCACTCACCAAGAGAGGGAAGAGAAGTTTTTTTCCCTTCTTCCTCCATCTGCTACTTGCTGAAAAATGTTTCTCAGAGTTCATCTCCTTTTTTTAAAAAATGTTCCCCATAGATTCATGCCTTTGGAAGATAATGGAAGCAATTCAGTGTATCTGAAGGACTTAATGTAGTTCCAGTACGTAGTAAGCACTTGATAAAGGTTAACAATCAGGTGATGATGGTGATAACGGGGGAAGGATGCCTAGTGGGAAACAGAGACAACTAAAATCCTCCTTCCTGAAGATTTAGCTTAATTTGAGCAACGGCGTTAAAGTTTCTCTCCATAGCTTACCAGTTGTTCAGTCTGAAAGAAAGACTAATGGAGTTTTAGCATTCATAAAAGAAGCCCTGGCTGCTAACCGAAAGGTTAACGGTTTGAAATCCTCCGCGGAGACAGACCTGGTGATCTGCTCCCATAAAGATTACAGCCAGGAAAACCTTATTGGCAGTTCTACTCTGTCACGGGGGGTCGCCGAGTCAAAAATCAACTTGTCGGCACTTAATAACAGCAAGGGCTCATGAAAACTTTCGTTTAGCCAGCTGACAAGAAATCGGGAAACATCACTAATGCCAGTGAGTAGGCTTTGTGTCAGGACCCGAGCTGCTTGGATTTGACATGACCACTCCCAAAGCTGGGTCTCCTGTTGGCGCTGGGCTCACAGCAGAAACAGACTTTTCCAGCCTGCCCCTTTGTAAATTGGTTTAGCTCATGGGTGCACCTTCGTTCTTCGTCTTTTTTTTCCTTTCGCTTCCTTTTCTTTCACCTTTATTGTCTGTATTAAAACAAATATATGTCTTTGTGAAAAATTCAGACAGCACATACATGTTTGAAGGCAGAGATTCCTCCTCACATACACTCCCACCCAAATCCCATTTACCTGAAGTAACGACAGTTAGAATTTGGTAAAGCTGCGTGTCTTTCCAAACCTCTTTTTCTATACATATGCAAACATGTCATCTGCACATGTGTGTGCACACGCATGCACACAGTATGCACATTCAGTTTTGTTTTTTTTTTACCAGCGAGGTATTGTGCCTTCCTGGAAACTATTTTTCCACTTGAGGGTCTTGGGGGGTTTTTTGTATTAGTGCAAGTAAAAGCTTCACTTCCTCTTTTTTAAGTTAACTGCTCCCTACCCAGTGGCTGCTTATGTTGCCTCTGGTTTCCAGCTGTCACAGACGATGCCGCGGGAACGTGCTCCTCCATATGTCTGTGTGCCCGC